CGCTCTCGCGGACCGGCGTCCTCGGGCCCGCGGTCTTCAACTACGGCAAGATGTTTGAGTACACCGAGGAGGAGATGAGCGCGCCCTACGACCCGAGGGAGGATGAGGCGTATTGGTCGGGCAAGCGCGCCGCGCCGGAGGAGGACGCGGCGGGGCGGGGACAGGACCCTGCCTCACCACAGCCGCCAATGCGCCGCCCGCGGCACGAGCGCGGGCAGACCGAGCCGACCAATGTCCTGTGGGTTGGCAGCCTCCCGCCATTCGTGACGGACGACAAACTGCGCGAGATCTTCGAGGTCTTTGGCAACATCACCACCATCACCCGTATGGAGAAAGGCGGGATGGCGTTCGTGCACTTCGACACCGTTGAGCATTGCACAATGGCCCTACAGACAATGGCTGGGCGGCTAATCGAGGGCGGTGTGGCGTTGGTTCTTAACTACGGACACGGACAAAAGCGTGGCAACGACGTGTCGATTTCTGAGGGCGGAATTCCCGCTAATGAAACCCCGACCAACGTCGTCTACCTCGGTCAACTCCCCACCAACATTACGGAAGTCGATATCGAGGTCCTTTTCGAGAACTTTGAGGGCTTTATCAACTCAAAGTACGTCTCTTCGACTAGTATCGGGTTCGGGCATTTTGATTCGGTTGAGAACGCTCGCGCCGCCCGTGTGGCGCTCAACAACGCCACACTCAAGGGTGTCCCGATCCGTGTGAACTTTGGCAAAACCAATCACAACTTCACGATGGCGGATCGCCGCCGGGTGGGAGAGCCCGCAGGCCTCAGCGACATTGAAGGGGGGCTTAATTTAGATGCGCTGATGCGCCCGCCGGGCGATCTCAATGCCGCGTCAGGGGCACTGGTTCTCGGCGGCGGTGGCGAAGGAAATGGAGGGGCCCTTGTACTGCCCGCAATGGGGGTGAACAACGGGATGGGCGGCCCCAGCACCACGGCGGGGGGTAATTTGTACAACAAAGAGCGCGCCACGCCGGATATGACCTTGGATGTGCGGCTGCAAACGGTGCTTGGGACCCCTTATAATGGCTGTGGAGCGAAGGATCTCGAGCTGAGTCCGAGTCAAATCCAGGCTATTTGCAGTATGATTGACGCCTGCGTTGATAGCAAGTCGGAGCAACGGCTGGATGATACACTTGTTTTGTACTGCCCGCTCAAGGCCGTCCATGTTTTTAATATCCTCGCCAAGCGCCTTCACTCATACTTCGGCGACGATCCTCACAAGAAGCTGCTGGTGCTCTACTCGGCGACTCGCGTCTTATTGGGGGTGGTGACAGATTACATTCTCTACAACGCGGCGGCGCTCAACGCGTACTTGATGATCCTCCTTGTCTCAAGTGAGGGGCAGACAAAAAGTGGTATGGATAGGTTATCCACAATCATCGAGAGCCTTTTCCATCATGGGTTTATTGGCAAGAAAACTAACGCAGGGGCTGCATACGAAGATGTATTTCGAGGGCAGCTGGAAGATATATTAAGCCGAGCAAAAGCTGAGCAGGACTTAGCAGGCCTAGTATCCACCAGGCGGAGGAAGTGATAAGATTTAAGTGAACAGAAATTGTTGCAGATCTTCCATGAATAAATAAGCTGTTTGTCATTTTGAGATAGAAGGGTTAAACTTAGGGAGAACAAATTATATATGCAGAATTCTTGTCAAGCGTTCTATATTGTTCAATGGATTTGTACACGTTTTTTTTTGTGGTGTTCATATGATAAAAGGAATAATAGAGAGAAGGTTGTGCAAATAATTTTATAGCTTTAGCTTTAAAATTAAATAACAATAATATCGTCAGATAATAACAACAAAGAAATATAGATGATGAAA